AAATATTCAATATCGCTACTCATAAGTACTTGGTACATTATCAGCGCAGCGGGAGACGTTCAAACTAATATCACGTAATTTACGTCTCTATGATGATTGGTTGACACCAGAAGGGAGGCTAGCCTCCCTTGCGAGGTTTCTTTTCACAACACTCCTCAGCGATGAAAGTGAACACTCAATGCTGATTGGCTAATTTTTTTTTACCAACGGAGGCACGAGAGCTCCGCTCTCCCCCGGCCTCCCCCTCCCCTTCTCTATCACCTAGTAGTTGTAAATACATCAGCAGATTCAGCACATTCTCGATAGAAAAGCGACGCTTTCCAACTTCAGTAACATGTTATGGTATTACAGCTGTGAAATTACAAACAAAAAATACACATTCTGAAACATAAACTGAAATGAATTGTGAATTTTATTAACATTAAATCATCGTCCTCCTATTTTCACCTCAAAAATATGGGGAAGCTGTGCCTCCCCTGCGTCCCCCGACGAGCCGCCACTGTCCAACAAAACAATACATATTAAAAGCTATGAAAACAAATAAAGTAAATGTAACAATGTAAGCCTTTATATTATGTGCAAAAAAGGGTTAAAATCACATTTCATTCTAACATTGTAACATTGCAATCTAAAAACAAAAATAAGGCTTTTAAAGCGGAAGTTAAATTCATTAAACTAAAAATGAAAATAAATGAGAACAAAAGTACAGAGTTGTTTTAGGCTATTTTGATTACCGCATTACAGTCACTTTACAGTCAGTGCTATCATAAAAATAAAATTCTACATGTCACATTTACTGTCCAACTACAAATATTTCAGCTGAATGTATATTTTAGTCAGAATTATTGCACTCTTATTTAATTGAGCTCTGTCTGTTTGGTGCGCATGCGTGCGGCGGCGCTCGTTCACTGAATCTCTGAAGTTGAGCGGAGAATCCCAAAGCAGAAGGCTCATGCACTTCTGACAGAAAAATTTAAATATTTCCATGGCTTTCTAACATTTACAGATGGAGAATATACATGTGAAATGTAAGTTATGGATTCAGGAAGACAGCACATCTCAAACACATTAAACAGCGCGAGTAGCCTAGTGTCTCTGTCAGCAGCCTTTCTGTCAGAGCATATGACGGGCCGAGCCGCTTAAACTAATATGCGAAACAAAACTATAAACTTGTCACATGTTCAGAACACATTGAATTATGCACTTTCTCCGCAGCAGCTCAGTCTTTGTCTTCCTCTTTATTTTCAGATGTGCTCATATCAAACTACTGTATATCAATGTAAACAGTATCGCCTCATATCAAATCACTTATAAAGAAAATATTGATATATCGTACAAACTCGATATACTGCCCAGCCCTACCCTGCAGTGTAATTTGCATGAAGATACCATGCTTGCATTTGTAAATGATGTGTGTAGCACTAAGCACTGCTTCTGTATTTCTGTTGTGGCTGCAGGCTACAGTGCTGTTTGGGGATTCAGAACTGAGGAAAAACTTCCCTGGAGATCCCACATACACGCTGTTTCCAGTGATCTCAGTGTCTAGGCTTCAAACCACCTCACGTCACACTCATCTGTGTTGTTCTCTCACTAGGAGGAAAAGAGGTGATTGTGCGCTAGGGAAAAGCGGGAATTGGAGAGGCTGTATGACTCGGCAGAAATCTCCTGCCCTCCATAAAAATGCATTGTGTTGTTTTTGAGACCGCAAAACTGTTTGTTTTTGGATGGCAGCATGGCTTTGCTGACAACAGGCCTTCATGTCTGTGGCATCTAAAGTAAGCCTGTCAGCTGTATGCTAATTTTATTTTCTGGCCACTAAAGACCTGCAGGATATTTACGCATCATGTAACTGTAGCCTGGGTGTGTTAACGGTTCTCCGAATGCTTCTGACCACTGTGGGGGAAAACAAATGCTGGTTACTGTTAGGGATGCACGATATTGGATTTTGCCGATATCCGATATGCCGATATTTTCAACTCATTTATGCCGATACCGATATATTTCCTTTTGTTTGGAAACAACACCAGGTCTCTCCTGTGCAGAAATTATAAGCAAAATGTTTTTAATTTTGGTTAGTTTTTAACAAGAACTTATTTGTTAGAATTAAATAAACAATAAGGAAGGTTTTTTGACAGTACATTGAATCTTTGAAAATAACTATAAATAAACTTTATATCAATCACTGCATTTTCCCCCCCAGAAAGATACAGTGTTAACCCTAACATTTTATTTTAATATTTAACATCTGTAGATGGTCTAAATCAAAAGAGTTGTAAAAATTCAGAAAATCTTTTAGAGCATGAGCTTATGATTTGTTTAAAAAATAAAACATATTACACATTAATGAATAAATCAATATATAGCTTCTGACCTTTAAATAAAAACATACTAATTTTTTTATGACATCAATTACTGCTTTATTTAATCAGAAACACAGCCTAAATGTTATTTGTGTAGACTATTTTACTTTTACTTTAATTAGAAGTAGGCCAACAGCACCCCCTACAAATTAAAAATTTTTACAGAACGGACATTAGGACCCGGTGGAGGCTGTCACTGCTGCCACTGCATGTGCTATTACTGTTTACTCTATCATACACCGAACACGTCATGCTGTACATGCTTTCACAGATTAAATGCAGTGATCTAAAACAGTGAATCTAATCACCAGTCAGGCAAAACTTTGCTTCAAGAATGAGCCACACTGCTGACATGATCTAATCGCTACATACCCTGAGCACATGTGAGTTAACGTATTCCTCTTATCGGCAAGACATATCGGCATAGTTTTTCATATCAGGCCAGTGCCGATATTTACATTTAAAGCCATTATCGGCCGATTCCGATATCAGTCCCATAATATCGTGCATCCCTAGTTACTGTTACATTCATTTCTGTTGGGAACATGATGAGACATTTTGTTTAGATTTTGTTATTTTTGAAGATTTGGCAAATATTTCTAAACATTTGGTAATAAGTAAATAAATAAATAAAAAATTTAATAAATATAATTTTTTTTCACCAGACAGATGAATTAGGAACTATAGTAAATGATGATTTCAGTGGATAAATAAATAAATCCATATAGTACTAAGAACTAAGTTCACACAGACTGATTTTGTGTTCCACTACACTGCTTTTGATTTTGTGTGTGTGTGTGTGAATGGCCCCTAAATGTGCATGTCTTCAGAAAATATTATTCATCACTGACACTTTCCAAAACATTTTGTTTAGATTTTGTTATTTTTGAAGATTTGGCAAATATTTCTAAACATTTGGTAATAAGTAAATAAATAAATAAAAAATTTAATAAATATAATTTTTTTTCACCAGACAGATGAATTAGGAACTATAGTAAAAGATGATTTCAGTGGATAAATAAATAAATCCATATAGTACTAAGAACTAAGTTCACACAGACTGATTTTGTGTTCCACTGCACTGCTTTTGATTTTGTGTGTGTGTGTGTGTGTGTGTGAATGGCCCCTAAATGTGCATGTCTTCAGAAAATATTATTCATCACTGACACTTTCCAACTACTTTATGATAAATTGTGTTAATATAACGCTGTATCTGGTAAAGCTTTAAATGGTTGAAGTGTAGGGTTTTGCTGTATTTCAAAATAACTAATTTATGCCATTTATTTTTCCTGTGTATTTCTGTGCAAAATAATTTATCCACTGAAGTCTTCTTCTGTCATTTATTTTGCTGGTGAAAGATCAGTTATGGATATATATTTTTTTTGCTGAAAGTGTAACAAAATGTATCATCGCCCTGCCTGACGGGCTGTCTTGAACAGTGATATAAAATTCCTTCCTTGATTTGCGTTGTTCACTCGCTTGTAGGGGTAAAATGGATCATAGTTTATCATTTGCACATGTTTCTAAGTCTTGCCAATATAAACATTCAAGTGTTTTAAACCATTCACGCGCATTCGGAGCTGCGCGCACTCATTCAAAGTGCACACAGAGAGCCGCGTTTCAGACAATGCGCGTACACAGAATTGATTTCTCTTTCACATATCCTTGCACCTGAATGACACATACACACAAAATTATCTCAAAATAACTGTCTCGGCAAGTATTCTCGTAAACACAGTCGGTTATGTCTTAAGTGAACATAAACTGGTGAAAGAAATCTCAAGTGCATCATTATATTGGATCCGTGCATTCGGTCTTAAAGGGGCAGCAGCCTATAAATACCTGCTGTTCCATAAGCGCCACCTGCTGTCAGAGAGTGACATTTGCATCTCATTCTGTTTTTGCTTCAAATTTCGAAATTATACAATCTAATTGCAATCTAAATAACATGTATTTAGCATCTTTGTTTGGATCATGATCAAAATGCGGTGGTTGCCTCTGATTTTAAATGGAAAAAGCACAGCCAAAGCCTTAGTTTGTTTATATGAAGAGATTTATTTTATGTGTACTATTTAATTATTTTGTTTAAAAATTTCAAGTTAGTTTTATTATATGACATATTTCAATTTCACAAAGAAATGTGCAGCATTTTGTTGGAGAAATAATAAAAGGACACCTTTTCATTTATCATTTGTCTTAAATCTAATTAATTGTGTTAAAAAGGAAAATTGTATTGTGAAATCAGTATTGTGTATCGCATCGCATTGTGAGTTGGGTGAATCGTTACATCCCTATATGCTACTAGTTTTTGCTGTGGTATCAAAGAAGTATTCTGTTATTTAAATAATAAAAAAACATATTTTTTTTGCTCTTCTGTTACTCAAAATCTGATATGATAATGCAATATGATCTGAGCCATGGGTTTTGTGTTCTGTTGCACCCCTACTCTCTTGACTTGTTATTTGAAGAAAAAAAGCAATCACTGAAGTTTTTAATCATGCTGATTTGTCCGCTGTGAAGTTCAGCTGATGTCTTTTCTTTTTTTTTTTTTTTTTTCATTTTGGGCTACCAAAATCTGAAGAATGTCCGATTTTGAAATTTTGCGAGGCCTGCTGTTACAACAGCTAATTAATGGCCAAATACAGAGAATTCTATGGTTTGACATTTCAGGTGATTCAATTACGTTTGCTCACTTTTATGTCTTGTAGTTCTACTGGTTGTTTTTAATTATTTGTTTACTACAGGTTTTAAGGAAGAACATTTTATATTAAGGCTATATGTAAATGAGTAATCATGGTGTGTGTCTATTACATGGGATGTGTGCATGCCATAGTTAGTTACTTCTGAGAAAGTGGGAGGAGAGCATGATAATGGATCATAACTGTCACTGTGGTGCTTGTAAATCTTTATCATGTTTGTTTTAAGTGTTTGTGCTGACAAATTGGGCTAGTAGTTGTTTTGTGTAGCATTTATCATTTAGCTTGATTTTGATAATTTAGTTAATTATGGTAGTTATGAATGATTAGTGGATTATTCAGCTCCTCTTGGCACCTATTATTTATGTATTCGCGTGAATGTGCAGTTTTTGTGTGTTCTGAGTCATGCAGGCGTAACAGGTGAGTAAGGGAGAGGAAATAGGATGTTTGAACTGTGGACACAATTAGCCGGCTTTAGACCGGGAGAGGCTCACGTGAGTTCAGCTATAACAATATATCAAAGCAAACAGGTTCACACGTGAGGCCTTCAAACTCAAAAACACAATGTCATTTTATTTGCCTTTATTATTTTCAATTACCAAAAATAACTTTCTAAAATTGTAAGCCTCATATTTCTGCTCCAAAAATGGGCCCCATTCACTTCCATTGTAGGCGTCGCACAATAAACTTGATTTTTTGTTTTTAAAGAAAACGAGGGAGGTATCTATATTAATATTTGTGATAATTAGCATTATGGAACAACTGCTGCTGATTGAGCTTAATTTACTGAAACTGGAATATTCCTTTACCATTTTTTAGAATAATAATTTATAGGTGCTGTAGGTTGACCTCCCTGAAAATGTGTACATTGATATTGACATTAAATGTTTTTTGAGCATCCTGACCAGCTTAACCAATGGCGTGAATCTCTTTAACCGACCGATTGCAAATGGGAGGAGTGCTTGGGAAACCTGTTTTTGATTCCATTTGGGAGGCATTAGCTTTCTACTGTATGCCGGTCCATATGCTTATAGAAGTGAATCAGTGTATCACCTGCATAAACCGACCCAGATCTTCTCTGTAAGTTTGAGCAAATCTGTTTTAATGAGCGGTTTTGATATCTTTATAAGTCACCTTATTTTGCCTCTAATCCTCTTTCCATTCTCCCGTGCTCTCTGCCTCCCTCTGGCTGGGATCACGGCTGACCCACTTCGCATCAGTGCCAGCGGTTGGCTCTTCGCCATTTCTCTGAAAGACCAGACCAACAGCCGCAGCAACTCCACTAGGAGGCCCCCTGCCAGCTGCGTCGTGAGGCCCTGCCAGTGGAAAGCAGTATTGCTAAGACATTTTCCTGTCTGCAGACTGCTGGATGTTCACGCTAACAAAGGGCGCTTTTGTGAGATCCAGGCACAGGGGCTTGAGGTTGACTGCTGGCCCACAGAAGGGACTCTAACCCTGGGAAATCAAGGTGTGGTGACACAAAGTGTCCTGGAAGGAACAAAAATGACCTTTACTTGGTGATTATCATGTTTAGGATGGATAATCAGCACAGAGATTAGGGATGGCCATGGGTACTTGGAAATAACAATAGTGATTGAGAACTATACACATTTTTAAATGGAGCATTTCGTGATTTTTCACAAATAAAGGTGTAGGATTTACTTTGCAATTATTTTTACTCAGAAATTACTAGTAAATTTTGCAAAAAAAATACTATGAACTGCAAGTAGCCCACTGAATTAAACAAAATTTTGAAGTAGAAAGACTGAAATAGTATTTACTTGTAAAACTTGGTTGATTTTATCGGTTGCGTACTCAAGTAGTCAAAATGACCTGATACAGTTTAACGTATTCCTCGTGTTATGAGAGGAAATAGTCTTTGGCACAAACTCGAATCTTTAATGAATTCTTACGAAACAGAATGTTCACAAAGGAAAATATATTTCATTACTAGAGAGTGCTGTTTCTTTTTTTTTATTTAACACTTATCAATGGTGATATTGTGCATGAAGGAGTCTCTCATTTGTAGTAATGCCCTCACTACTGCTGTCTTCTGGGTTTTGTCTCTCATAACTTCTCACTGAACTATATTGAGTAAAATGATTTACCAATGTGAGTTGTGTTTTCTTTTACCTTGCATAGTTTTATTAAAGATCTTTATGCTTTAGGGCATTTCACACAACATTGGTCTAATTTGACTAATCTTGACAAATTATTGTTTTGTAATAAAAAAAATATATATTAAAATACAATATTAAAATATACCAATAAGCCAATAGTAATTGTCATGCTATGGCCAATAAGCAATAAATGACTGATATTAAAATTCTTTACTATTTTGTGTAAATTAATTAAAATAAAAACCGTAAAAAATAAATAAGTCATCTTAAATGCTACAAGTGAATTTAGCTAGATAACATTATAATATACAGAAGAAAAATGGAAATTAAATTTGAGATTTGCTAAATTTTATTAACATTTATAAAGATTAACTGTAAGACAGTAGGGCTGCACAATTATTCGAATTTCTAATCGCGATCACAATTATGGATTGTATAATCGTTCAAAGTTCACTTATGTTATTGTGTGTGCTTAAGATGCATTTTTTTTCTTTCTACATGTTATCTTAAGGGTTTTTCCATTGTTTTAATTTTAGTTTTAGTATAACACTATAATACCATTCTTTTTATAATCAGAATTCTTTTTATAATTTAAAGAAGAAACCAATCCAATGTATATTTGACATTTGAGGCTTAATACTATGGAAAAGCACTCAAAGTTTTTCAGTTCGAGTGTTTTCAGCTTGTTTATTTTTATATAAAAATACGGCATGCAGTTGCATCAAACAATGGTATAAACATAATTCAATGTAAATTGTGATAATCGTAATTAATAATCACAATTACAATTTCAAGGGAATAATTGACAATTCAGATTTTTGTTATAATCGTGCAGCCCTATAAGACAACATATATTAGATAGTGATATATAATAGAGCCCAACCGATAGAATTAATAATCACAATTACAATTTCAAGGGAATAATTGACAATTCTGATTTTTGTTATAATCGTGCAGCCCTATAAGACAACATATATTAGATAGTGATATATAATAGAGCCCAACCGATAGGGGTTTTTTGGGACCGATACTGATATTAGGGAGTAAAAAAGGCCGATATCGATATATCGGCTGATATTCTTTGTGCATATTATAGTACAGTACCAGTCAAAAGTTTGGACACTTTGCCGTTCGTGTGTTCAAACATTTGACTGGTACTATATATAGAATACATTATAAACATAAACAGAATATATATACATAAGCACATTTTTTGCAATGATCACTCAAATGTGGTGATCAAATACTTATGACAATTCCATTCAACTTTATTCCGTTGAAGTTTATTTCACTTCAAAACATTCATTCACGGATTTGCGCTACTGTTTTCACACAGACTAAACTTACTAGAGAAGTGTGACATAATATACCTCTGTAAATAAATATAAATTCACGTCTTGCACACTTTAATGCCCTTTAAATGTAACGTGTACATTCCCTTGGAACTGGAATCATGGCGGAATATCATGTGAAGTACACTTCGCAGGGCACTTACGGTCGAATAAGACCACGCTTGAATGCTGCTGCCTGAACAAGAGACCTCCTTACTGAAGTGAAAGTGTAGGCTGGTGTCACTATCTCGCGAACGTGCTGGCGGATCTACACCAAATTTGGTGCGGATTTGCCACGCCTTTACGTAGATATGGCCGTTCAAAGTTTCAATGGTTTTTCATAGACTTGAGCTTTAAATCGTTTCATCCAGGTTGCCAGTAGCAAACAATGGAGTGCTCTGCTGGACAAACTAAGTAATTACACCATTTCAAGCATTTTATCTGCGTTATATATTCTTTAAAAAAAATGTAATATCGGTGGCATATTCACTGATACCGATATATCGGCTAAATGATATATCGGTCGGGCTCTAATATATATTTATATATGCTAATATTTCCATCTTACCAATACACAATAATATGCTTAGATTGATTTAGTTTTTTTTCTCACCCAATCAGAACAGACCAGCAACCCATTTTTTTGGATCACAACCCACCAATATCTCTGATTTATTGAATGCGGTGTGGAAAATTTGTGCAGTGGTTTCTGGATATAACAGTGCATTGTTTTATGGTTGAAGTGTTGGCACTGTTTATATAAACACCTCTCCGCTGTGTTTGGATATTAGAGAACTCCTAGATAGATGTGTTTACTGCTAGCATCTGCTGAACCATCTCATCACTTCATTGTCACCCTGACATTTGTGTGCGTGTGTGTGTGTTTATGGCTGTAAGATGAAAAGTAAGTGTGATTTCCCTCCAGTAAATGTGTGTTGGTATGTTCCTGCTTAAACTGTCTTTGTCAGCTCTCTTGTGTCTCTCTTAGTAGCGATTGTCTGTCTTTGATGTGTGTGAATGATGAGCGTAATTTGATTATAATTAATATATTGTGTGTTCTTATTTGGATTGTACAGTATGTGCATGTTGCATCGTTAAACTAAGCTAAAATTGGTCTGTGTTTGTGCAGTTCCTCACGTCCCATTGTGTGCATCTAAGCCGTGGCTGGTTTTAAATGTCGAACGTGGTTGCTTATGGACTTATCGTCATGGTAACGGTGTTGCAGTCATCCCCGCTCCCGCCCTGTGAGAGCGTTTGACACGGCAATCCCAGCCTGTCTCTGAAGTGCCACTTTTGCTCTGTCACTATCAACACCATTTTAACTGCCACACCTATCAACATGATTGTGAAAACTCTCCATATGATAGCTTTCGGTTTAATGCAAGTCTAAGCTGTAGAACATTTTTGAGAATCTTTAGGCACCTTGTGATTGGTACTCGATTTGATTCCAGGACAGTTTGAGATGCATTAAATTATGTATGCTGTAGGGATGTAACGTTATGAAAATTTCATATCACGATTATAGTGACCAAAGTTATCACGATTATCAATATTATCACGATTTTGTTCAAATTAGATGAAAACGTTCAAAAAGAACTGATACACACACTGAAAACATTTCAATAAGTTCTATATTTGAAAATCAACAAACAACAAATACAATTGGCAGCTATATGCACTTTTTTTTAGCATAAACATTAAATTAACATTAACATGAAGC